GAGTAGTATTCTTGATACTACACATACTTTTAGCTCTAAGGTAGAGGTCAGAAACGTGACATTTAGATTAAATTCATTTTCCTTAATCATGTGTCGTTTGGCACAACTAAAACACAAACTGACTCCAAGTGTAGTACCTTTTCCATGGGTCAGAAATGAAGGAATTATATTGTACCAAGTTGAATGGTTCATCCCCAAGATGTAATTGTTAATATGTTATTTTAACCACTGAAATTTGGTTCTCAAAATTATTTATTTATTATAGAAAACTAAAAGTGTAATAGATATGTTTGAAATCAGATTGCCATGTTAAATTTAGGCTTTATGTAGCTTTATTGGGAATGAATAAATCTGATGTTTTCTGAATTATTTATTGTCCATGATCCATAGTAGAAATATTATATGTTTTTTATATATTTGATAGAACTAGAAGTCATTGTATGGGGATTGAATAATATAAAAGGTGGCATAACATAGTGGTTAGAAGGATGGACCCTGGAACCAGTCTGCTTAGATTTACCACCTTGTTTTGCCACTTACCAGCTGGGTGACTTGGGATAAGTTACTTAACCTCTTTGTTATCAGTTTCCCTATCTGAAAATGGTCATAAGAGTCTGAAAATAGTGTATTTTCTGTCAGGTTGTTACAAGGGTTAAACAGATTGTCATTATTATTATTTTTTGAGACTCTGTCACCCAGGCTGGAGTGCAGTGGCATTAACTCAGCTTACTGCAACTTCCACCTCCCAGGTTCTAGAGATTCTCTTGCCTCAGCCTCCCGAGCAACTGGGACTACAGACGTGCACCACCATGCCCAGCTAAGTTTTGTAATATGTTTTGGTAGAGACAAGGTTTTGCCATGTTGTCCAGGGTGATCTTGAACTCCTGGGTTCAAACAATCTGCCTGCCTCAGCCTCCCAAGGTGCTGGGATTACAGGTGTGAGCCACCATGCCTGGACAAACAGGTTAATATTTGTAAAGCACTTGTAGCAGTGCCTGGCATGTAGTAGGTGCTATAGAAGTTTTGATTAAATAAGATAGATGGGCATGAAGCTTGACAGAGTTTTATAGAGTAGGCATGTCTTGCCTTTAAAATACACCTAGCTGCAGAAAATGTTGTCTTTTCTTTTTTACAAACTTCTCTATTATCCTTTAGAAATATAATGAATTGAAAACTAGTATATCCAAAATAGTGTACTTTTACTCTTTGAATAACCAGATCATGTTATTCCATGAGAATTTTCAACTGATTATGTTTTTCATAGCTATTTGAACAGTACTTTTAAGCCACATGTAGGTTTCAAGGTCTCTAATTTTTTCATTAGCATTGTATCAGAGAATATAGTATTTACAAAAAACATGTAGCTGTTTTGGTTAGTGATGACTGGAAATATTGCTTGACAGTAGTTTAATAGTGCCCATACTGCTTGGAAATATTAGCATTTATTAGATAGATTTCTTTTCAAATGTAATAATAGTGCTCATATAGTACTAATGTTTTTCGTCACTAGGTTTTAAAATTTTGACCATGAGACCTTTGTGCAAACCTTTATTATTCATGGTTTCAAGTAATTTTAAAATTTGGTCTGTATTTTAAGCCAATTATTTAGATTGCTAGAGATATACAGTAATATTACGTAACCATCTTCTTCTAATAGTTACTAACATACAGAAGAAAAGAAAGAAGTCCAAATAAGTACAAAGTAAATTAATATATATGTTTTAAAGAAATAGAACAGGTAATTCACTTTTATAAAATAATTAATTCTGAAATATATATAATAAAGAGTTAAATACTTAAAATACTTACCACTCCTTTACCCATCATCATTTCCATTTTTCCCTCCTCAGAGGTACTCTGTCACAGGCTTGCTTTTTTAGTCTTCTATAACTTTTTCTATTTGTGGGAAGACAAATTTGTATTCAAACTTAATATACTGTTTAAAAACATATTTGGATGATACCACACATATGTTTGAGGTTTTTCACTTTGTAAGATACCAAAAATATGCCTTTATTCACACCTGTAACTGTATCTCATCTTTAAATGGTTTAATTTTACTCTTTGTTGCAAATATTTCCAAATTAGCTGTTTCTTTTTTGATGGACGGATAAATTGTTTAGCATTTTCTTTCCTCTCTTCTTCTCTCCTTCCCTTTCTTTCTTTTTTGCTGCTACAGAAATTACCACTGATACTATCTTTTATAAATTGTGTGCATGCACCCTCACAACTTTTACTATTTCCATAGCATATTCTTAGAAATGGGATTGTTTTATAGAACAAGTATGCTTGAAATTTTTTTTTTCTTTTGAAACAGTCTTACTCTGTTGCCCAGGCTGGAATGCAGTGGTGCGATCTTGGCTCACTGCAGCCTTGACCTCCTGGGCTTAAGCAATTCACTTGCCTCAGCCACCCGAGTAGCTGGGATTACAGGTGTGTGTCACCGCACCTCGCTAATTTTTATTTATATTTTATTTATTTATTTATTTACTTTTAGTAGAGAAGGGGTTTACCATGTTAGCCAGGTTGGTCTCAAACTCCTGACCTCAAGTGATCCACATACTTCAGCCTCCCAAAATGCTGGGATTATATATGTGCACCATCCACCGTGGCCAGCATGTTTAAATTTGTAACAGATATAAATTGCCCTCTGTTGCAATTCCGTTCTATAGAGCATACCTATTTTCCCCATATATAAAACATTCTCACAGGAGGCTTCAACAGTGACAAATTTTGTGGGTATACAAATTAACTCTTTAACATGTTTCCAGTGTAACAGATGAAAAGTATGTCTGATTGTTGGATATCTGATGAAAAGGATATCTGATATCTTAATTTTTATTTCTTTGTTAGCAATGTTGAGCGTTTTAAAAATAAGTTTACTAGCCAAATAACATTTTTTTCTGTAAATTATGTATTCTTATCTTTTCTATTTTTTTATAGTCGTTTATCTATTTGCCACCTTATATCTTTACTTGGATGTCTAATGGAAATCTCAGTTTAAGACGTCCCAAACTAAGTTTCCTTTCTTCTCAAATGTACTTTTCCTATAGCTCCATTCTTCCAGTCTCTCAGTCCCAGTAACTTTGAGTCATCTTTGATTTCTCTCCTACTGTACATCTAATCCATCAGTAAGTCTTATTGGCTGTATCTTTGAAACGGATACAGCGGTTCACCACTTCCTGCCACCTCCTTGCTTCTGCTATCTCTTACAACCTGTCTTCCTTTTTCAACACTGGATCCATGTAGTAAATTTTTTGCATAGCAGCCAAAGAAGTTCTTTCAAAACACATATTCAACAATGCCGTGACTGTATTGAGAATCCGTTACTCTGTCCCAGTTCCCTCAAGTGAAAACCATCTTCTTACTATGACCTACATGAGTCCTGTATGACCTGGTCCCTATATATAGCTCTAACCTCATCTCCTACTTTTCTCACGCTTGCTCACTCTGCTCAAGCCATCTTTGCCTCCATACTTAGCTTGAAAATCCCAAACATACCTCTGACTTCAGACATTTGTTGTTTTTGTTTCATCTGACTACTGTAATGCTCTGCCCCCTGAGATCTGCATGGATCTCTCCCAAACTGGTTTGCTTTAAAAAACATTATTTAAAATTGCTGATATTCACCATATCATAATATATGACATTATAACTATGAGAAAGAAAAAGTCCATTATTCATGCCCTTAAGGTATTTTAAATATGGAATCAATGCTCATATATTAACCAAGTTGGGGGAGAAGGGAAGTATGAGTGGATATGGCAACTAATCATATATCACCACATTCTCATAGTGGTGATGTAATTTAATTTAATAAAAATTTATTTAGATCTGATTTATTTATTTTATTCTACTTTAGAAGTACCTAAAATACTATGTATAAATTATGTATTTGCATTAACTTAAGCTGTATTATATAAATGTGTCTGCTCAGTTTTAAATGAATCTGTTTAGTTATAATACACTATTATAAATTACTCAATTGTTTAAAATAATTCCTGAAATCTTTCATTATGAAGACATGGTTGAAATCCTCCAATTTCTTTACTTTGAATGAACAAAATTTTAAATAATACAGAGAGTGGAATATCACATTTCATTTTATTAAGAAATCTTCCTTTTATGTAATCACATACCTGTTTTGGTTATCATCAAAATCCCCCCCCCCCCGCCCTTTTTTTTTTTTTTTTGAGACAGTGTGTCGCTCTGTTGCCCAGGCTGCAGTGCAGTGGTGCAATCTCACCTCATTGCAGCAACCTCTGCCTCCTGGGTTCCAGTGATTCTCCTGCCTCAGGCTCCCGAGTAGCTGCGATTACAGGTGCCTGCCACCATGCCTGACTAATTTTTGTGTTTTTAGTAGAGATGGGGTTTCACCATGTTAGCCAGGCTTGTCTGGAACTCCTGACATCAAATGATCTGCCTGACTCGGCCTCCCAAAGTGTTGGGGACTCACAGGCATGAGTCAACGCGCCTGGCCAAAAGTCACTTTTTAAAATTGAGAGATTTTTATGGGTAAGCTTTTGTTATCAGGAAGATTTACATATGGGAAGACTAATTTTCTATCAATTTTGGATGAATCAAGTGCTTTTTAGGTGAATTTCTCTTTTTTTTCCAAGAAAAAATTTTATTGATGTATTACCTTTATACTGAAAATTGGACAAGTTGTTAAGTTACTGCTTAATGAATTCTTAGAAAGTGAATACATGCATGTAATTAATAAATAGAACATTTATCTCTTCACAAGTCTACCTTCTAGTCACTAATCCCTGACAAGAGTGAGTGCTCTCCTGACTTGTAACAAATTAGGCCTGCTTATTTTTGAATACTTGCAAAAATCAGTTCTGTAAGAGAAAATGATGTACAATGGCAATTCGTAATCTCGTATAAAAATTGTAATTTTAAGCAAGAGAAGAAATAATCTTGAAAATACAATTGGTATGTTTTTCTGAAATTGTAAGGTATGTTTCTATTAAATAATTAGCTGTTCTCATACTCAGAATCCCGCCCATTGTCAGTTCCTGTTAAAGCCATGTTGAATATATCTGAAAGCTGTAGAAGTCCTGAAGAAAGAATGAAGGAATTTATTGGAATAGTTTGGAATGCAGTGAAGCATCTCACACTACAGGTAAAATAAAAGTTAGAAATATGGATCTAATTTCTATAATCCTTTTTAATTCCCAGCATTGTTAATATTGGTAAGATTTTTCTCACATGTAACAATTATGTATACCATCTCATCTTCATAATTTAGTTGAAAATAATTGGTGTACTTCACTTATCCTAAAAATAATTTTATGAAACTCATATGATCTTCCTTATAGTTATAAAAATATAAACATTTTGACATGTTCCTTGAATTAAAAAATTTTAGTTCATTCTACTTTTTGTTTAAGCATTATTTTCACAATTTTAAGTGCTTAATAGATCCATTCTTATCTCAGTACTGAGATAAAGTCTGAGTTGTGATTAAATTAACATGAAATGGTTATCTAGTTACTTTTCATACATAATTATAAGTTAAATATGAAAATTATAATAGTTATTTCCTTATTGTTATTAAATTTTCTTATTGATTTTTACTTTAAAATGCACGGTTTTATCTTACTGAATTACTTTCCTTCAAGATCATGTTTAACCTGATGAAAATATACATTTAGATGCTTATTTGATAAGCTAACAGTTATATATTTTAGTTTTTGCATAGGATTTTTTCTCTGTAATACCAGAGGCATCCTTATATAATTTTATATGTAGCAGATAGTAATATCAAGGGCTTAAGTCAAAGCCTTTCACTTTGACTTAAGATATAAAAGTTGCAATAGAAAATTGTTCCCACCTTACTATGAGAACAAGGTTATATCATCTATAAAATTACAGCTGTATTAAGCCCATAGAGATCTGAGGTCTTAAATTGACATTACCATAATGGCAGGGTGCTAAAATTCAAAAAAGTGATAAGCAACTCACTTTTTGAAACCCAAGAATCTCAGAAAACTCCATGAAGAATATAGAAAAAGGAGAACATAGCTAAGTACCTAGCAGTCAAACTACTGAAAACTCAAGGAGAACATTTTATTTTATTTTATTTTATTTTATTTTATTTAAAGTGGGAAGATCTTTATTTATCAATATTCTTGTTTACCTGAAGACTAGACTGGAAGAGACTGAAATTATAAGTAAGGCAGACCTAGATATGTATTTCTTAGCAATGTAATGTTGGGGAGTTTCTTCTTGTTTCTGTGTCCACAAGTTAGAGATTATAATGTCTTCTTCATGAAGAGGGTGGAAAATATAGAGTGATAAAGTATATGAAAGCAACTGATAAAATTTATTCGTTTATTGATTCATTTTGCAAAAGTTACAATACTGTATTCAGAGAACATACTGAAGAAAACTAATGCAGTCCTGTCCTCATGAAGATCATTGTTTGGCAAAGAGAGACATTCATTAAATGATTGTACTTAAAATAATTTGACTATATTGATGATGATCCTGCTTCATGAACATATGTGTCAATTAAGCTAACCCTAGAAGAATCAGGAAACATTTGGGTACTCAATAACACCTGTGTTTTCTTTTTCTATTTCGTCTTTCTCTCCTGTAGCTGTAGCTTTTCTCTAAAGCAGCTGAAGGCTGCCCTGCCCTTCAGCAGGCAGATAAGAACTGATGGAGATAACACCCTTGGGATTATCTTCACCTACCATGGGAAATGATTCTGTAGCATTCCTTGTCTGTCAATGTGTCCTCAGTAGAATTAAGCTTCAGGTGTCCCAGGTTTGCCAGCACACCCATTTTGGTTACTGTCCTTTTGAGAAAATTTAAGAAGTGGGTAGACAATAAAGGCATGTTATATACAGATTAAAAACATTAAAAATGACTCCTTACATCTTATTAGAAACAATGGAGGCCAGAAGACAATAGAATAACATCTTTTATGTGCTGGGGAAAATCGGCACATAACATAGAATTAACATAGAATTCTCTAGTCAGCAAAGTATTCATCAAAAATGTTGACCAATAAATACATAAAGACAGAAGAACTTTTCTCCAATAGAAATTAACTGCAAGATATTCTGAAAGAAGTTATTTAGGCTGAAAGGAAATTATGACAGATAGAATCTTGGTTTTTCAGAAAGTAATGAAGTATATCCGAAAGTATAAATATGTTGGAAAACAACTGAATATTGCAAAAAAATAGAATTCAAGGAGAAAGCTTTAGTGTGTTTTAGCCTTTTGGCTATTAGCTTCTTTCCTCTTTATTTTCCAGTTAACTTTTTGTTTGTTTGTTTTTTGTTTTTGGACAGAATCTTACTCTGTCGCCCAAGCTGGAGCGCAGTGGTGTGATCTCAACTCACTGCAACTTTCGCCTCCCAGGTTCAAGCAATTCTTCTGCCTCGGCCTCCCCAGTAGCTGGAATTACAGGTGCCTGCCACCATGCCCAGCTAATTTTTTATTGTATTTTTAGTAGAGTTGCCATGTTGGCCAGGCTGGTCTCGAATTCCTGACCTCAGGTGATCTGCCTGCCTTGGTCTCCCAAAATGCTGGGATTACAGGCATGAGCCCCTGCACTTGGCCCTAGTTAAATTTAACATTAAAAAATATGTGGCACTTAACAAAGTAAAGGAGCTTTGATTAAGATCAAAATTCAGCAGTTAAATGAAATTTCAGTAATTTATTCAGAAAATATTTATGAAGTCCCTAATCTGTCCTGCACTCCAGCCAGCCCTTAGTCCTGCAGATGTGAGGAAATTGTCTCTGTGAGCAAGTAGAGTGAGTTTGGAAGTGTATGCTTTCCCAGGTGAGCCTCTGGATGAAAACACAGATGGTCAACACTTTTATTGCAGCTTTTTGAGTCAGTAATTCAAGTATTTAGCTAAGCCTTACCCAGATTATTGACCCACAGAAACTGCAACAAATGTCTCTTGTTTTAGGCTGTTACATTTGTGGTGATTTCTTATATAGCATAGAAAATGAATATAGACAGATATAGACACATTATGCATAGCTATAGTGTCTGATTAATCACTATAAGAAATACATACCTGCCATAAAAACCTTTTAGAATTCATCCAAAAACATCTCTAGTGCATAAAAATACTATTTAATATAAGAGCTCATAATCTTGATTTTAGCATTCCTTTATAGCGTTTCTTTTCTGAGCATGCTGCTTATAAGAAAGTTAAGAGAAGAATGAGAGGAAGAAAGTGTGGATTGTTGTTCTTGTGTAATTAACTCTTAGCTTGCAGAATTATGACTTTTTTAGGGACATCAGCTATATTTCACCAATTTCAGCCATCATGAGTCATTTTAATGAATATCCTAATAACTCCTTGCGTTGACTTACCTGTCCTTCTCCCTTCGAGATACGCTTTGTACAGTGGTAACATCCATCTCTTAAATTTTGTTACATGTTGGGCTATATGCTGAGAAAGCAAAAGAGACATAATAGTTGTCATGGTCTAGCTGGGAAAAGGCTAAGTGCCATGGTATGGAGTATCCTGTAGGGAGACCCTTAGAAAACTTAATGATGAAAGAAGAGAAATGGGAATGTCAAGAGGAATGTTACTTATTGAAAGGATGCCTCGGGCATGTACTTCCTGGTTTGTGATGAATTTGGATGTTATCCTAGGTAAGTATTTATTGCTTTGTGGAAGATCTAGTTGATACCACTGTGTGGTTTAGAATATGATAGCTACCAATAATATTTAGTTGTTTAAAGTTTACTATAGATCTAAATGTTATTTCATGATAATAGAACTGGTTATATTAAAAAATCCTCATTCCCTCTTATCTTTTTATTAATAATTGAATAATGTGGTATAATTATCTTTTTATTGATATCACTTTGAGTAGTTCTATAATAGGGAACATGAAAGATAGTATTGGGTTACATGATTCTTTGACAGCTCTAGGAAAATACTCCAATTTAAGATTCCAAGTAATATCAGAAATCTTTACACTATCTATAAACAACTAGGTACATCAATATTCTACAGCGTAGGATATACTAGAGAATGTCCTTCTCTGGCTGGGATTAAATAACAGAAACCAGATTTATTTCACTGCTTGAAATAACCAAAAAATTATTGAAATATATAACACAAAGGTTTCAAACCACTAGGCAATAAGCCAAGTGGAGAGTGATTCCTGAGAGTCTTAAGATAGAATCAGCAGGACTTAGTAATTAATTGATTTGGGGAATAAGGGAACACAGTCTAAGAGATCTTCTAGATTCTAGTTTTGGTGTTTGGGTGGTAGTGATACTATTAAATGAAGCAGCTTTTCCAGATTAGGGGCACATACGGATTTTGAATTTACACATGTATTTGAAATGTATGTGAGACATCCAGGTATGTATTAGATATTTATATCTGGAGTTTAAGAAAACAGATTAAGAGAAGAGATATAATTTTAGGAGTTATCTGCAGATGATTTTCAAACCAGAAGAATGGGTCATTCAAGAAAGCATGTAAAGTTGAAGAGCAATGGGCCAAGGGAATACCATTTAAAAAGTTGTTAGTAGAAGAGAGAATGTCCTTGAAGGAAATTATGTGAGTGATCAGAAATGGAGGAGGAGAAACCAGAGAGTTCATGAAAGCAAAAAATGCATAGAATGTTGAGGAGATAGTGGTCAGCAATGTCAAATTCTAGATGTTAACTATATGCTTTACTTGCTTATTTGCAGTATAAAATGGATAAATTAAATAATGGTTAAGGTTACTTCCAACTCTAACATTATTGTATGATTCTTTTGCTTATTTTATAATGATGCAGTACCTTTATTAGCTTCATTACCATCAACAACCTTAATTTTATCTGTCACTTTGAATTAATTGTAAGTTATTATAGTGATTTTCCTCATTTTTCCTTTTTTATCTCTAATTATGGTAAAACACATATAACATAAAATTTACCTTCCTTACTATTTGGAATAAACTATATGGTTTATTTTGTGGTTCCTTGATTTGAGTAAGCTTATTGAATATCAGTTAACATAATCATTGCAGTACCAAATAATACATCTTTTTATAGGTTATCTTAAATATGACCTAGGTACTTGGCTTGCCTCACCCTAGTCCTGGCCCTGTGTTAAACATACTATATATTTAAACATTTCCAGATGTT